AGCAGCTCCCTCGCAGCGCGGGGGCCTCACACGTCCCGTCGGAAACTCGATGGGTTCGGGGACGGGGGATCTCTCCGAGCGGCAGGCCGGGCAGCAGCCAGCAGCGCTGCGCACGTACGGTCATATGGGCACCGGCGTGGCGGGGGCATGTGGATGTGGTGGGGTGGTTCCGCTCCGCCTTTCCTTGCCGCCGCGCCCGCGATTCGATCGTGGTGGTTGGCGTTGCTCTGCGGCGGTGTCAGCCTTGCATGTGAGATCATCCCAGTCCCCAGCCGGCCAGCAGCCCTCCTGGTTCCTGGTCCTGGACCGGGCTTCTTTTATTCCCGCCCTTCCTGCGCTCCGTTTCTTCAATTCTTCTTCCTTTTTGTCCAAATCAAAGCTGTCTTTCGATCGCGCTGCATGCTTGCTCTCTTCTGCTTCCCGCCAATAATTCCCGGTGGCCCGCGACTACAATCCAAAATAGGGGCTGAAGGCTGCCACATTCCTTCCCGATTTCCGCATCCAACGAGTAACAACCTTGGCAGGCAACCTCGTGTTCGGCTTTAGCCGATCAAATCACTAACAAGAGACAAGCTTAAGGATGCATTGGTTCTTCTAGCAAAACTCGCCTTCTCTAGCTGAGCCAGAATTTAAAGTTATCCAATGCTTGTGGTTGGTTTGCTAGTAGTCTTGAGGTTTGTGCGCAGCCAATATATATATATATATATATATATATATATATATATATATATATATATATATAGGTAAATTTCCTTGCTATCACACGAGCAAGCTGAGTTGCTCATGGGGCCTGACAAACTCCTCAAGGCTTGTACTGGTAGGTTAAGGCAAACTTGCTTGAGAGCCAAGACGACGTGTCCTAAGCTTGAGCAAGAACATGCGAATCTAGCGAGCTGGAGCTGAAGCAGATAGAGTAAGATCGTGCGTTGTTACCGACCGTAACTCTACGAGATTTATACACGTATATTCTAGTAGTGATTTTCTTGTCTAATTGCATAGTCAAAATCTCTCGGGGCACATACGCAAGACTTGGCCCCATTTGGCTCGCTGAATTTTGGCTGAAACTGGCTGAAAAACACTGTTCTGGCTGAATTGTTGTGAGAGAAAAATACTGTTCCGGCTAAAAAAAGAAGTCAAACAAGCCGGCTTCTGAGTAAGCCGAACAGGGCCATTAATAGAAGCTCAACTACTACACAAACTTTAGTTAGTTATAAGCTTAGGGCTCATAAAAAGCTTAATTGATAGAGATAAAGCCAGCTTGAGTTGTACATTGATGTGTGCTCCTGCTTGATAGGTGTTGATCTGATGTGCTTGCCTGCTTGGAGGTGATTTATCCATGCTTTGTTTCTCTCTTCTACCGCTACAGCTCAAACTTTAGGTGTATTTGATGAATGCCTAGTCCAGTTTACTGTTTTTTTTGGGTTGCAATTGAGCTGTGATGCGCTTGCTGCATAGTGGTGCAATTAGATGCTAGGATCACTTGGTCTAGATTCTCACGAACTAAACATATTGTTGATCGTTTATTTCTTTGCTATTTCTCACTGATGCTTATCATGTCCATAACATATATAGAAAGCATGAGCACTAAATTTAATAATCTTGTGCATGTGCAAAAAAAAGAGCACTCGTGACTTAGCCCTACCCAACGTGTGATGGGTCATTCTCACGAGCTATGCAAGAACTGGAACAATTAATTGAAAATCTTAAACTATGTTATTATAGCAGTAAGTAGCGTTGTTTTCTTTTTTTAGAAAAGAGTTGGATTTTATTAATAGGGTAACAGTACATTTACATCTAGCCCCCCGAAAGGGCACCCCTAAACACAAAAAAGATTACAGATAATTCCTCTAAAGGAGTACCCAGTGGGCTTCACCGTTGCCGACCAACATTGCCGTAGCCCGGTCCTTCTCCATCTCCCGCAATGAAGACGACCCAGGATCAAGCTCACGGCCGATACCCGAATCGACGAAGAGTCTTGAAATTTTAAAAGACCCCTCAGTAACACGCACAAAGCATGCTTTTGATCCATTGAACGCTCCGGCAAATGGCAACATGCCGTCTCTTCATCGTCGTCAGAATCTGACACTGGTCGCCTCATCGCCCAACCCCAGACGACGAACAGCAAACCCACAAGAGGGATTAAAGTACACCAACTCGGAGAAACGAGAAGGTGGATCAAAACACCAGCAAACGACTTGCCATCGCCACCGGTACAACCACCAAGGCTCCTCCAAGCAGCAACAACTAAGTCATGGGTGACGAAATTGGCGGCGACGCAAACCGCGTGGATGTTGACAGCACAAATAGATTCATAGAAGATTCGAAAACCGACGTATAGAAAGACAGCAAAGAAATCATCATTGGTTTCCAAATCCCTGCATATGACACCATCAGCAAGCTCCATACGCACAGCACACACCTCCAGGACTAGTACACCACCAACGAAGCCGATGCCTGAGAACCTTGGAAGGAAGCAAAAGGAAACCAGTGATTTCCTCACTGGGATGAAATCCAACCCTAAACCAAAAATAGCCACCAGCCGCTGGATCTGCACCTCTCCCTGCACATCGGCGCCCAGAAGGACGCCAACGACGAGGGGAAACCGGCGTCGGGATGGAGTGAGTCGCCTTGGAGTCGCCCGCGATCTAGTGTAGCATGGGGAAAGAAAACTCGAGAGAGTGGGAGAGGGAGTAGTGTTGTTTGGTTGGTCGCCTGGCCAATGCTATCTGGGCCTTTCTTAAAAAAATTGCTACCTGGGCCGGTCAATCACATCTAATGGCAGGCCTCCAAAATCGAACCCATGAACTCTTAACACCGGAGCTCTTTGTTGTTTGGACTTGAAATCCTGGCTTAGTTTCGGGCCGGTCGAGCCTTACGGTCTCGAGGTTGCGGCCCAATAACAAGCCTTAAGAGATTATGGGCTTGTTTGGATGCCGTCCTGGATGGAATCTGCCTAGGCTGAAGCCTTCCTGGAATCTTTCTGGGTGACGTTTGGTTGAAGCCCTGACAAGTTGCCTGGCACAGGCAAAGGCAAGGTCTCAAGTCGCAGGCGTTGAAAATTGGGTGCCTGGCTTTCGTTGCTTTCTTTGCCTGGCATAACGCATTGGTTATTGTTTATTTATTGTTACACCGTATTAAATGAGAGACGTGTTACTTTTTTAGTTTTCTCGAGACTAATTGCCACTCATATAATATGGTTGTTCAATGAATTAGATTATTTTTCCTCTCTTGAAGTAAACGTAATTATTTATTAAATATAGATAAAGTTGTTTGATTTATAAATAATTCTCTATTTATTTAACTTTGAAATACATAATTTTTAGTAAAACTATAAAAGCTATATGCTAATTATGTACCAGAAACATTAGTTAACACATTGATATTATGAATATCTCCTCTCGTTAATATCCTCAGGCACAGGCCCCTGCCTTTTCTTTGGACTTGCCCGACCAGGCAAAATCATCAACTTTTCAGACAACTTGCAAGCATCACTTTTTACCATGCAAGTTCTTCGGACTTGCAACCAAACGGGCCAGTTGGGCCAATTTGGAAGCCAGGTTACTCCTACCCGTACCCTGTACCGCTTGATGGTTTGAAAACGGTGGAACGCTGTTTTGCAGACACTTTCAGAAATATTTCTAAAACGCTACACACCCTTGTCTATACTGCTTCAAATTCTCTGGGGCACGCCTTACAAATAAATGAAATAAACTCCTCTCAACTCATCAAACGTGAAAGGCGCGGGGGTACACGAGCTGAGTGTGTTGCCGGTGCTAATAAGCGAACATGGTCGTCATCTTGCCATATGTTGGTCCGATAATAGTTTTTTATGCCATTATTATTAGGAGTTAGGACTCGTGGAGTTAGTAGGCTGCAGGACAGTCACATCGCCAAAATATTCAGTTTCCCGTACCAGCGACTTAGGCCTCGTTTAGTTTCGTAAAATTTGGAAATTTGACTACTGTAGTATTTTCGTTTTTATTTGGCAATTAGTGTTCAATTATGGACTAATTAGACTCAAAACGTTCGTCTCGCGATTTCTCACCAAACTGTGCAATTAGTTTTTTTTTTGTCTACATTTAATGCTCCATACACGTATCGCAAGATTCGATGTGATGACTACTGTAGCATTTTTTAAGAAAACTTTTTAGAACTAAACAAGGCCTTACAGAATAGCTTCCGCATTCACATTGCAGTGTGCCAGTGTGTGTTAGACACCATACACCTTTCTTCTTCCAAATTTTAGACGGACAGCAAGTCATTAACACGGTATTCTGCCATTCACCGTAGCGTCGTTGGACTAGTATACCACCGGCCTTTGGGTACAGGAAACTGAAACGGATTAGGTGCCGCTTCCAACCAGCTCTGTAGTAGCTAGCTAGAAACATGCATGATCCTACATGGGTTTGGTACACAGGAAGGATCCATGCAATGATTACTCGATCGACAATTATAGTCTCCTTCCATGATTTAATTGTAGACCTGACGTTCCTTCTGTATCCGGCTATGCACGAATCTCCCGTTCCCAACAATGCATATATCAGACAAAGTGAAGGCGCGCTGTACATCTCTTATGCACAGGATTAACAATCCCCAAGAATCCCTCTCAAAAAAAAAAAAAAAAAATTCCCCAAGAATCAGAATCAGTGTATGAACCGGGCGTCCTAGCAACTCTCGATAATACGCACCACACCGTGCGATAACTGCCAAGAGGCCGTTGCTTTTTGAATAGTTCACTCGTGATCCGAACCCTCCGTTTCTCGCATGATTTGCTCCGTAGCCATGTGACCCCTACATACCAAAGGCCAAAGCACCACGCCGACGGGCGCAACGGCCGTTGATCGATGGCGATCGCCGCGGGCGCGGTAGCTGCCTTCCTTGGAGATTCTTTTCCGGTCTATAAATACCCCGGCACGGTGCTCCTTCCAGATCATCGAAAGGCAGAGCTCCTCCTGTCAGCCAAAGAAGCTACCCCTTTTCGTGTAACTCTACTAGCAGCTATGGCGTCCTCCTTCAGGGTGCTCGCACTTGGTGCGCTCGTCTTCTCCCTCCTTGTCACGTATGGCTCGTGCGCTAGACCGGCGGTCAACTTTACCGCCTCCGACTTCACCGCCGATCCCAACTGGGAGGCGGCCAGAGCCACCTGGTACGGTGCGCCCACCGGCGCCGGCCCTGACGACGATGGTAAGTACGTGTAGACGACGTCGTTGCAAGGCGCAGGATCGCATCTTTTGCCTTTGTCATGTACTTTACTCTACTGCATGTCTGCATGTTGTGCTTTTGGCTTAACGCGCGGTATCCATTGATCTGCAGGTGGCGCCTGCGGGTTCAAGAACGTGAACCTGCCGCCGTTCTCCGCGATGACATCGTGCGGGAACCAGCCCCTGTTCAAGGACGGCAAGGGCTGCGGCTCCTGCTACCAGGTACTTAGCTAGATTAATTGGTCAGACGAAACTCCTTTAATTCGCTGCCTGCCCTGCCTTAATGGAAACGGAAAGCTCGAGCATGACTTTTGACTAGGGAGGTGTTTGGTTGCCCCTCCTAAATTTTAGCAGTTATCTTATCAAATGATTGAACACATATACGAAGTATTAAATATAGACTAATTACAAAATTAATTGCATAGTTTACGACTAATTTGCGAGATGAATCTTTTAAGTCTAATTAGTCTATGATTCGACAATGTTTGCTACAGTAAACATGTGCTAATGACGAATTAATTAGACTTAAAAAATCGTCTCGTGGAGTACCGACGGATTATATAATTTATTTTTTTATTAATATTCAAATACCTCATAGAACATTCTCCCGATGTACCTCCTAAATTTCCCTACCTCTCTTTTATTTTCTTTCCTACTACTAGATACGATGCCAAAAGCACCCTGCCTGCTCGGGCAACCCAGAGACGGTGATCATCACTGACATGAACTACTACCCCGTGGCCAAGTACCACTTCGACCTCAGCGGCACGGCGTTCGGCGCCATGGCCAAGCTCGGCCGCAACGACGAGCTCCGCCACGCCGGCATCATCGACATCCAGTTCAAGAGGTGGGTATCACCGTATCGTCGTCATGCGCAGTTGCACATGCACTGCACGTTGTACAGAGCCACGAACCCACAATTTGCAGGCCCCACCTGAATGAACAGAATATAAGCTCGACCGTCCAGGTCCAGGTACTACACCTGTGCTGCCGCATGTGGAGCTCTTGTAGATCCGCAGAAGTATTACTAGTTAAACTGTACCTGCTCCTATCTGTATAATTAATTTAGGCTCTGTTTGTTCAAACTTATCAGTTGACTTATTAGCTAGAATCAAAATATCTTCGACCGACTTATCAGCCTATTTATATATCAGCCGAACATAGGCCCTATATTTTTAGGACCGTTGTCGGACTGGACTAGACTAAAGGAAACATGTCACATGCAGAGTGCCCTGCAACTACCCCGGGCAGAAGGTGACGTTCCACGTCGAAGAGGGCTCCAACCCCGTCTACTTCGCGGTGCTCGTCGAGTTCGAAGACGGCGACGGCGACGTGGTGCAGGTGGACCTCATGGAGGCCAACTCCGGCTACTGGACGTCGATGCGCGAGTCCTGGGGATCCATCTGGAGGCTGGACGCCAACCATAGGCTGCAGGCGCCCTTCTCGCTGCGCATCACCAACGAGTCCGGCAGGAAGCTGGTGGCCAATCGGGTCATCCCAGCCAACTGGGCGGCCAACAACTATTACCGCTCCATCATTCAGTATTAGCTCTGCGACTGCGCTCTGATTCATTCGGTGTCATTGGCTTTCATTGGAACTGTATGTAATTGTATCTTGGGTGCATAGGATTGCGGTGCCTTGACTAGTTAGTCGGTGAGCCGTCAAGATATTGACAGAGTAGGAGATGAGGAAGCAAGTTTGGATGTGCTTTCCCGCTCACTGTCAATACATGAATCAGTGTGATCAAGGTTATAAATTACTCCTATAAAGCAGCTTCTCAGTGGCATTCAGTACGTCCTGTTCCCATGTCCATTTTTATGTAGCACCGGTTGGTTATATATTCAGCAGCTCAGGGGAATCTGATCTTAGACGTCCAAACCAGCAAAACTGAGTTGGTCATGTTTCTTAGACGTCCTAAAACGATAATGATACGATCAGGGCGTCCGTCCGTCAAGGCGACTTGCCCCGCCCGCGCATATTCGCCGCTGAAAGCATCTAGACCCTTAGTTGGGTTTCGGTGATTAATGACAATACGTGATTACTATGACTAACGTGTGTTTTGCAGAGGCAATTAAGTTAGGTCATGGTAATGGAGATCGATTGGGCAATTATGGTGGTCATGCCCCTACGATAGAAATCGTTTTGGTTTTCAAAGGATGGACGACAAAGTTAAGGATGGACTAGTTCTAAGTGTCGTTTGGCGTTGAAGAGACACTTAGAGTAGTTTATGATTTTATTTTTTTCTTTGGCCATACTATTAAGGGGGTATGGACGGGTAGCTTGACCTAGGTGAGTCTAGTGAGTTAGGTGTGGTGTACACTTGCTAAATCTAGCACTAGCTGGCTCCTAAAAAGCCCTTAGATCCATTGGAGCAAACTTCATTCACGTATGATTGAGAGTTGAGACTTTTCTCTGTGTGCCATTATAAAAGATCGTAATCCCTTATGTGTCTCTGGAAAAATTCAGCGGTCTTCAACGCCACTACTCTAACTTTTTTGGGTCCTCCATGCCACTTCCGTCAGTTCAGGCTTTAACGCCGTCAAACCGCAGGTGTGAAAAGACGAAAATGCCCTTTAGTTCAAATATGTTATTAATTTTTTTGAGCATCTTAACGACTTCAAATGAGAAAACTCAAAACTAGAAAGTTGTAGATCTCGTCGAGATCTATAATTTTCATATAAAATTTATTTTCATTTAATTCCACAAAAAAAATATGATTTGATATGATTAATATATAGTAGAAAAATCATCATATTTTTTTACGAAATTAAATGAAAATAAATTTTATATGAAAATTATAGATCTCGACGAGATCTACAACTTTCTAGTTTTGAGTTTTTTTCATTTGAAGTCGTTAAGATGCTCAAAAAAAATTAATAACATATTTAAATTTAAGGGCATTTTCGTCTTTTCACACCTGCTGTTTGACGGCGTTAGAGCCTGAACTGACGGAAGTGGCATGGAGGACCCGAAAAAGTTGGAGTAGTGGCGCTGAAGACCGCTAAATTTTTCCAGGGGCACATAAGGGATTGCGATCTTTTATAATGGCACACAGGGAAAAGTCTCTTGAGAGTTGGAAGTGAATGTAGGGTCAAATGCTGACCGGACGCTGGTTTTGGTGTGACCGGACGCTGGCGCAGAGTCCGATCAGTTCATTTGATCAAGATGAAATCGTCTAGTGCGATCGGATGCTGAGAGGTGAGCGACCGGACGCTGGGTGCTAGCGTCCGATCGACTCCAGTAAGGTTCCAGAGAGAGAAAATCACTACCGGACACATCCGGTCAGTGCTGACCAGACGCTGTCCAGCGTCCGGTCACAACATTAACACTGGAGTTCGGGGAGAACAGACCGGAGCGTCCGGTCAACTTGACCGGAGTGTCCGGTCACCCCACAGAGGCACATAACGGTTCGTTTTTCAACCAAGGTTATAAATAGTTCCTCCATTCGTGTGAGGGGGGGTACTTTTGCTCATTCCAACAGTTGAGAAACACCTTTGAGAGTGCCAAGAAGAGTAAGGTCCTAGTGAGATGATTGAGATTTGAGAATCCCAAAGAGAGCCCTCATTAGTGAGATCAAGAATAGCAAAGTGTGCATCCACCCTTCTCATTAGGCTTGTCATGGTCAAGTGAGAGTTCATGCTTGTTACTCTTGGTGATCGCCATCACCTAGACGGCTTGGTGGTGATTGGGAGCTTGGTGATCATCTGACAGAGCTCGTGGATGACCCAACTCAATTTGTGAGCGGTTGTGGGTGATTCACCGTGACAGAGTGTCGAAGAATCAACCCGTAGAGAGTACTTGATCCTTGCGCGGATCAAGGGGGAGCTACACCCTTGCACGGGTGCTGCAACGAGGACTAGTGGGGAGTGGCGACTCTCCGATATCTCGACAAAATATCGCCATATTCCTCCTTCTCTCTTTACTTTGAGCAATTCAATTTTTGTCATTTACATTCATAGAATTGCCATCCTAGAGTAGGATTGGAACATAGGTTGCTAAATTTTTGTGTGGTAGATCAATAGAGGCACTTTTTAGGCACAAGGGGTTAATTAGGCTAACCGTAGGGTTTAATTATTGCAAAAAAAAATTAGAATTAGCCCAATTCACCCTCTTTCTTGGGCATCTTGATCCTTTCAATTGGTATTGGAGCCTCGTGCTCACGTATTTAGACTTAACCATCTAGAGAAAGATGTTTCACGTGAATGGTCCTCCTCTTATCTTTGAGGGGAATGATTTTCCATATTGGAAAATCCGTATGGAGACGTATTTAGAAGCTCTAAATGTTAGAATACTTAGAGCCGCCTCACAAGGCTTCTCAAAACCTCGAGATGCTACACACCTACAAGGCGATGAGGTGAATTACGAGAAATGAAATGCAAAGGCTCAAAACACCATCTTTAGAGGTCTTTGCAAAGATGTGTTTAACCAGGTGAGGAACCACAAGGACGCCCATGCACTATGGTCAGACGTTTGTGCGCTCCATGAGAGAACAAAAAGTGAGCGTGAGGAACGCTATCATCTCATCATAAAAAAGCTTAACTCTTTTGAGATGCTTCCTAAAGAATGTGCTAATGAGATGTACTCACGTTTGAATGTTCTTGTAGAGAAAGTCAATGGGCTTGGACTCACTCAAATGCAACCATCCGATGTTGTAAGAAAAATCTTGAGTGTCCTTCCCATTGATAAATATGGGCATATTGTGACCGTGCTTTATCAAGGTGATTTTTTCACCGCTACACCAACACAAATCTTAGAAAAGATCAATGCTCATGAGATGTACATGCACATCATACCTCAAGATGGCTCATCCTCTACAAATAAGAAAGAAAAAGACTTAGCATTCAAAGCTAGCCAAGAGAAGGCCAAAGCAAGAATTGAGTATGAGAGCTCAAGTGATGATAAAGTTGATGATGCAAGTCTTGCTCTCATGGTGAGAAGAACCACCAAGATGCTAAAGAAGCTTAACAAGAGTGGCATCAAGTT